GGTCTCATGTGGCCCTCTCTGTGCCTACAGGTGATATGTCAGGAAGTCGTTCTCAGCTGTGTGGAGCACTTCAGCCAGGTTACAGGGGGCCATGCTGGCAGGTTTGAAGAGACTGAGGCCCAATACTGAAGTCTGGGCAAGGCCTCCTTCCTCAGACATACCCCAGGACTTGGCATCCCTCCTCTTGGTCCCCCTCCAGGTGTGTGAGCTGTTGCCAAGGGGTTTCACCCGAGGCAGCCAGAACTAGGAGTGGCCCCTTGGCACTTGAGAATGGCACTGGATCACATGATGAATGCACATGAGTGTAATTAAGCAGCTCTCCTGGTCACATCCCTCAGGGGTTCAGACCAGGCCATATAATCACGATAATAATAACAACAACCGGTTCTTGTGTCACTCTTTATACTTTGCAAAGATTTTCACATATATCAAGAAACCAAGATCCAGGGAGCTTTTTGTCACTAAAACAGCTTGAGTATCACATGGCCTGTGCTTGCTCTGTTCCACCTCTCTCTGAGTTCCACTTGAACATGTCAGACAAAATAAGGAATGGCTCCCTTGTGACAAAGTGAGTTCCCTGTTATAAGCAGTATGCTAGGAGAGAGTAGATAGCCTGAGATGGAGCAGAATATAGAGGCTGGACTACAGAGCACCTAATGTTCTATTCATTGATTCCTTAAAAGGAAAAACATTATTTGCATTTTATAGAAAAAAATATATGTTACCCTAATGTCTGCCTGGTATTGAGGCATAGAGAAACCATTTTGGCCATTTTAAGGACTTGAATTTGGAAGAATGAACATTATGTGTCAGAAATATGATTTCTTTCCATATTCTTGCTAAGGGTTTAGGTCTACTTTCCCCTGAGTTCATGCCAATAGACCTTATGTCTAAACAGCAACTTTCTAGAAGCTTCATTCATACATACTGCTCCTTTTCTCATTTCCACCTCCCACCTAATTCAGAGTTCGTCTCCTCACCCGCCTGCACTGCCCTTTCTCATTCGACTCTGAAACTCCATGAAGGTAACTGTTATGCCTAGGGTTATGCCTGGGGTCCTGGTATAATTTACTAATACCACCCAAGATTTGGAAACAAATTATAGTACTTGGGCCACACTGTCTCTCCTCGGTGGTCAGCTACTGCCTCACCATCCTGCTGTCACTCAACTCCTACCATCTTCCTTGGGGGCATCCGCTTCCGCCCTGATGGCAGTCTGGCCTCACAAGTGGTTGACCACCTGCCCCTCCTTTCTGCCCCTGTCACTCATGGGTGCTCTCTTGCTTCATGCCTCATATCACTGTTCAGTAGATGTTGGAGGGCTGGGTTTTGTTCCAAGCTCTAATACCTGTATATTCTCTTCCATAAGCACAGATGTCCTCTCTCCCTGTTCTCTTTCTTTATGCTCAGTGAGTCTGCCCTTGACCTTCCTCATTGCTTTGGTTCTTGCCCTCGTTCTCTGCTTCCAGGTTACTCAGATTCTCTTGGTCCCACTTGTTTATAAATCCAGCCTAGCACTTCTGCCAGTGTTTCTGTGCCATTCTGATTCACTATGTCTGCTTTCCCACTAGACTCTGAGCTTGGGATCCCCACAAGGACCTGACGGTTTTCTTTTCTTGCCTGGATTCCTCTCCTGTCCTGCACATTTTAGGAGTCTCTCCCAGCCACTGGCATTTTTTTTTTTAGAAATTCCCAGGTGATTCTAAATGTGCAGCCAGGTTTGAGAGCCATTTTATGTTCTCAATAAATAAATTGAGGCCAGGCGCGGTGGCTCACACCTGCAGTCCCAGCACTTAGGAAGAGTGAGGTGGGCAGATCACCAGAGGTCAAGAGTTCGAGACCAATCTGGCCAACATGATGAAACCTCGTCTCTATTGAAAATAAAAAAAATTTAGCCAGGTGTAGTGGCTCACACCTATTATCCCAGCACTTTGGGAGGCAGAGGCAGAGGCGGGTGGATCCCTTGAGCCCAGGAGTTCAAGACCAGCCTGAGCAACATGGTGAAACCCCATCCCTGCTAAAAATATGAAAAATTAGCCAGGCATGGTAGCACATGCCTATAGTCCCAGCTACTCATGAGGCTGAGGTGGGAGGATCGCTTGAGCCCAAGCAGTCGAGGCTGCAGTGAGACAAGATCACACCACTGCACTCCAGCCTGTACAATGAGAGTGTGACTCTGTCTCCCCCAAAAAAGAAAGTTTTTTTTGCATGCTTTTTGTGAGCATAGTTCTGTATCAGATGATCTGAAATGAATGTGGAAGGAAGTCCAGTCCTCACCTAAGCAAACCATTCACACATGAAAAGATTTCACATTATTACAGAAATGGTTAATGGTTCTCTCCTCTTTTGGTACTAGAACACTTAGTTGATACCTGTTACCCAAAGGACCTTGCATAATATTGTATGTCTGTCTTTCACATACATCTTTAAGCTCCCTGGAGTTAGAGATCATGTTCTCTGCATCTGCATGTTTAAGGTTTGGTGCCTACAGAGCTTAAATATATTTTGCATTTAATAGGTGTTTGTTGAACTGAATATCATTAAGTACAAATTAATACTGTACTGAGTATTAGAGAAAAGATAAAGTATTCATCACAGTTTCCTAAAGGTGAGTTTCAAGTTGAGTTTTGAAGGAACCTAATTCCAAGAATTAGGGTAAAAGAAATTCTACTCCTAGCTTTCTTCAAAAGTTTTTCTGGTGTCATTGATGATACTTGTAACATCCTAGGATCAGAAGAACCTCAGGGGCCACCAGATCCTGCTACCACTCCTGTTCATAAATCCTTTCTTTGAAGACCGGTGCTTCAGCAGGTGATGTGACATGGGCAGGACCAGACTATCTACCTGGACTTCTCATTGTCATTTTTCCAGAAAGATAAGCATCCTCTGATGTTGAAAGACTTTTGAACCCTTGTTTTGTTCTGGGTAAATCTGAATTTGATACTTCAAGTGTCTTTGTTTTTTAGTGTTGGTTGGGGCTAGAATTTATAGTCTGTAACTAAGGACTGATTTCCAAACTCTGCACTTTTCTAAGGGTCAGCTTATCTTTGTAACAGATACCATTGGGGCAGTGGAAGGAGGTGATGAGTTACTTCCCACCTGAGGTGGGCATTATGCTAACTTATAGAGAATCCACATGAGTTCAGGCAGATAGAGGCCATCCTGTTCTACAGTAATTCAAGTGTTGGATTGCAGGAGATCACAGAACTCTCAGGGTTAGAAAGAGTCTTCACTGATTCTACATATACTTGTTATATGAGGCATTGTGTACAGGGCTGGGGGTATAATGGTGAAAAGTCAGATGTGTTTCTCACCTGGATGGAATGTATGATCTAACAAGGTACAAATGAGCCATACAAGCCATGGCGCTCCCAGGGCCCTACAGCAAGGCCTTGGGCCAGCTGCACATTCGGTACTTGAGCCCTTTTCTAATTCCCACTGGTGTCGTGGAGACCATGGGCCCTGAACACGATCTCCTTTCTTTCTCTATCACCTTCTTGCTTTCTTTCTGTTACCAGTAGGTTTGTTTGTTTGTTTGTTTGTTTTTTGGAAAGCCTTTGCTCATTTTGGGCTTTAGCTGGAAGTTGTTGATCACAAGACTCGGGAGTCTGCTATAAGACAAAAAGCAGGCGCAGGGTCAGAATGCCTGAAGTGGGATGGAAATTTACTGATTATGGGGTTTTTATTCAATGAATTTTGTAATTGACAGTGGTATGTGTATTATACATCCCCTGGGCAGAAAACAATGCTCAAGCGAGGAGGTTTACAGTAGACTGGGTGAGTACTGGATCAGGTGACAGAAGTGGAATTGGATCCAGAGGACAAATGTGAGACATACAGTAAAACTCCAGCAAATGGGGCTTCCAACCAGTTGAAAATGGGAAAAACTAGAAATGGTTTTGTGGCATGAAGTTGTGTGCCCAGGAGAACCACAAGCCCATTAGGTTCATGAAAAAGACCAGGCTCTTGCCAGTTTTGCTCATTGTCCTCTCTAGCACCTGGCTCAATGTCCAGCACAAAGTAGATGCTTGATAAATGTTTGATGAGTGAATGAACAAAATAGAGGTTATCCAAAGGGAAGCAAGTTCACTGTAGAAGAATGAAGAGCCTTCTTCATTCATTTAGGAAGCCAATATTAATTCTGTAAGGTGGAGGAAGGGCTTTTCATGATGAGAACTGTGTGCCATCAATATCCAAAGCAAAAGGTGAAGAAGAGCAGTGTATTAATGAGCTTGTATAAAGTATGATTTTTCTTCCTGTTGGCTGACTGTTGCAAAAGCCTTTTTTAATTTTGACAAGCTTTGTGACAGGCTAATCACAGAGGACATTTGTGCATGTGATATTTTCTAAGCCACGTTTGCAGTTAATAAAATGCTTTTATTTCAGTAAAATTAAAATGAAGAAAACACATATTCTCTCATCCTTAAAGAAAAAAAGAAAGGCTGGCTACAGTGGTTCATGCCTGTTATCTCAGCACTTTGGGAGGCCGAGGCAGGCTGATCACTTGAGGGTCAGGAGTTCAAGACCAGCCTGGCCAACATGGTGAAACCCCGTCTCTACCAAAAAATACAAAAATTAGCCAGGTGTGGTAGCACACACCTGTAATCCCAGCCGCTGGGAGGCTGAGATGGAAGAATCACTTGAACCCAGGAGGCAGAGGTTGCAGTGAACCAAGATTGCATCCCTGCACTCCAGCGTGGGCAACAGAGTGAGACTCTGTCTTAAAAAAAAAGAAAGGAAGGAAGGAAGAAGAAAGAAAGAAGACCTTATTGATTCTGAGCATCTAAAAGCAACACTGGCTTTTGTATTCCAGGTAGCAATGCTAAGCAGACTTAAGCTTTTGTTTCCCCCTCTGACTTTGGCGTTTGTGCTGACTTGGTAACCATTGTCTGATTAACACAGAACTCCAGTAGAGGGCCTCCATTATCTTGAAAGGGGGTGTTAGAAGCCTCTGGAGGTGGCTTGCCGCATCTCTTACTCTCTGTTCTTCTGTTTTCTAGGACTGCATTGACGTAGGGTGGTGGGAAGGAGAGCTGAACGGCAGACGAGGCGTGTTCCCCGATAACTTTGTGAAGTTACTTCCACCGGACTTTGAAAAGGAGGGGAATGTAAGTCTCCCTGGCTTTGATTTCAGTGCCCCCCATGCTGGCAGAATTGTGGCTCCCATGATGGGACTTGGGATGGGGGAAGTTTGAAGAGCACTGGCATTTGAACATTCAGCAGACCCACATTCTGAGCCCTTGGCTGCTGTATACTCTGTAACAAGTTTCATCGTAGGATGCATCTGTTAGCTAGCAATGGTGATCTCTACCCTGGGGTTGTTGCATACATAAGATAGTGCGTGTAAAACACTCAGTGCAGCACTGGCACATTTCAGCACCTAAATAAACTGTGAGAACCTTGGGTGCTCTTTTTGGTAAGTGGACTGCCTGCATCCCGCATAGCGTGATCCTTGGGGATGGTAAAGTAGCCAGTGTTGTGGAAGTGCCTGAAAAGCACTTTGTAAGGCTGAGGATGCAGGATGAGACCTGCTAATTTTTTTTTTCTTTTATTTGGGTCATTTATTTTCCTTCTCGTCCTGGGTTCAGTACATAGATGGCTTCTCTTCACCCTTTGGGTTGACAGTTTTCTCCGGGTTACTGCTTATGATATGATAAAGCTCAGCATAGAAGGCCTTCAGGTCCAGCACCATGGCCCTGAGCTCCCCATAGGCTGCCTCATCTCGCTCGTGCACTGAGGCCCAGTAATCCATCACATGAGTCTCCTTGGAGGCCTTGGCCACAACATCCCCATGTTCTGAGAAGTACTTGGAAATGGTTGTCTGGAAAGCTTCCACTTTGGTCTTGACGGCATTCACCCTCTCCAGTACCTTTTCCTGGATTGCTACCCCAAAATCATTTCCGTCTTCAATTTTGGGGATCAGGTGCTGGATCCATGTGATTACCAGAATGCATTTCTCTTTGGGAGTCCAGACTTCTGACTTAACCAGGGCAAGGAGGGACAGGACCTCATTCTCAGGGAGAAATCCACACTTAGGGATTTCTTTCTTCTTCTGCTTATCTGTTTCCATCTCATCATCCTTGGGTGGAGGATCTGGGATGGGGATGTCCAGTGTGGCTCGGAGGGAAGTCAGGTCAGCCACATTGAGGGAGTCCTCTTGCAAGAGCTGATTCAGGTATATGATTTTCTGTGGCAAGAATCTGTGGAGGAATTCCTCAGCCTCCTGGAAAAGATTCTGCCTGAAGACCTCTACCTGTTTGAGGACCTCCCGGCTCAGGTGCACCCCACATGGCTTGGTTATGCTACTTCAAGTCGCTAGATCTCTCTTTTTTTTGAGACATAGTCTCACTCTGTCACCCAGGCTGGAGTGTAATGGTGTGATCTTGGCTCACTGCAACCTTCGCCTCCCAGGTTCAAGCTATTCTCCTGCCTCAGCCCCCTGGGTAGCTGGGATTACAGGCACATGCCACCATGCCCAGCTAATTTTTCTATTTTTAGCAGAGATGGGGTTTTACCATGTTGGTTAGGCTGGTCTCAAATTCCTGACCTTGTGATCCACCCACCTCAGCCTCCCAAAGTGCTGGGATTACAGGTGTGAGCCACCATGCCCGGCTGAGGCCTGCTAATCTTTCTATACTATATGTGTACATGTGTGAGTACACCTACACATACCCATATATGAGTATATACGCATCTCTCATCCATGGTTTCTCTTTAGTTGTGGGAGCCCATTTGACCATGCCATTGTTTAAATCAGCCACTCCATCTGTGTTTGCCTCACTCCAGGTGTATTGTTTCCCTGCTGAATAAGAAATGTTAGGAAGTTAAAAGCACTTTCCAGTATAAGAGGGTAGCAATCCCATCTTCAGGGTTCTTTGCCCAGGTTTTCACGTGACCTCTGCCCACCCTTCCCAGCCTCCATCTACTTTATGCCCATGAGGACTCTATTACTGGACCATGCTGAGCCTGATCTTGTCATGGCACCATTCCAGTAGGGCTGAGGTGTGGGAAGGATAGCTACAATGCTGGTGGATTGGTTGCCAAGGATACTAAAGTAGCATTTAATGGGATTTGTGCTGCTTTGATGAATGGATGTAATTGTTTAAGAAGCTCGATGGTGTTGGCACCTGCCAAGATTATGCTCCATAGACCATTAGGTTGATTTGAAGGCTAAGTTAGCCACACTTCATAAGCTTTTTGATTGCTTTCTTTCTTGTGTTGTTTAAGTATAGAATGTTCTGTTCCATACCTGTTATTCTCTCTTGGAGTCTGAGTTTGGGTTTTAGAGAATCTGTATTCTGCTTCCTAATGTTTCCTAGATTCTCAATCCTTAAAGTGAGATCCATGGATCAGCAATAGCAGCATCACCTGAGAACTTGTTAGAAATGCTCAGACCCCACCACAGACCTGCTGCATCAGAATCTGCATTTTAACAGTGTTCTCTGGTGATCTTTTTGCATATTACAGTATAGAAAGCACTGGCGTAGAAGCAGGTGTCTGTCTAAGTGATGACAGCCCACCTTCTGGTTTCCTCCCCCATCCCTCATACTTTAGGAGGGAAATAAATTCACACAACAGAGAAGAGCTCATCATTCAATAAGGAAATTTTCCACCAAGCAAAATCACTTGAAATGTTTTTACTGATGACTATAGCAATAGTGGATTTTCATTTGACAAAATCAGTCACTGAGAAGAACAGATACTAAACACTTAGTAATGACTGCATATGAAGTGTTTTGAAATAGTAAGACACAGGAATTCGGTTTGGCAAACATTACATTAGAGTATGGTGGTTGTGACCCTAGGCTGTGGCATCAGATAGATATGAGTTTGAATTCTAGCTCTGTCACTTACTCGTTCTGTAGCCAAAGCCAAGTCACTGAATGTCTCTAAGCCTCTGCATTCTCATCCATAAAATTATATGAATAATTGTACCTACCTTGTTAAAGTGTTGAGAGAAAATTTACTGGGATGATGCACATAAATTATTAAGCATGGTGCCTGATAGTGAGTAAATGCCTCACACAGATTAATTATTCCAGTCTATAATTACTATTTACCATGAAGGTAGGAAGGCTCTAGCTGAAACTGTGAAGCAATGATAGAAGGCTGACTCTGGTTCTTTTTGCTCCAGTTGACCAAGTCAACACAGTTATCTTGGTGTCTTGGCAAGCTTCCCTGGGAATCCAAATGCATCTAAAAACTTTGATAAATGGCCATTAAAAAGAAATCTAGCAACTTAGAAAATATATTGGTAGAGAGATGTGAGTGCAGAATGGCATAATCTTTATGTTATTTCTCATGTTTTTCTCTGGATCTGCTGCCTGACATAATGTTTTATTCTCATTCATTCACTCATTCAGTATTTATTGAGTCCTTTCTCAGGGCTGGCCACTGCACTGGTTGATTGAAAGTGAAGCATGCACATGAGTGCCATCCTTGTGAGCTTAGAGTTCGACAGTTAGGTTTGGCATTTAGGGCTGTGGAGACTTGCCTAACTCTTCTGAAACGATACCTGATATAGGCCTCTCCAAGTGAGTAGAGGCAAGGGGGCTGTCTAGTCTGCCTGTACTTCTGTTCTTCCCTATCTCTGTGAGGCTAGTAAAGCTAGGCACATCCTGAAACACTCAGGTACCAAGACCTCCGTGGTAACTCCTCTCCCTGCAACCAAGGAATCTTAACAACTATACCATCCTACTAGACATTTGCCACCTTATTGGTTATAATTGAGGCAGTATGTTTTTTAATTGACAGATAAAATTATTTGTATTTAATGTGTACAACATGATGCTTTGAAGTATATATGCATTGTGGAATGACTGAATCTAGCTAATTACCATATGCATTACCTCACATCGTTATCATTTTTGTGGTGATGGCCAGTAAGGTTTTGAAGGCAGGGTAAAATCTAGATCTTTCTTTTAACAAATGGGTAAAGCATGCCTTCTAATTTCCAGTCATGTTAGGGGGACAGTAAATTCACTCAGGTGAGAGCTACTCCATAGTGTACTTTTCTAGAAGCTCTGTGTTACATAAGCTATTAAGGGAAGCACTTCCACCAGGAGAGTGAAGTTGTCAGTGATGAGTGGACTGGGCATGGCATGCTCTTTGGGACATGCACACTCCCCATGGGCATCTCTCCAATCCCAGACAAGCAGCCACCATCTCTTTGATAGGTCTTTTAACCTCGTTCCTACGAAGCAGAAAACCCAATTTAAGGGAAACAATAGTCATACCTGTCAGACAAAGTAGTATCTATAGCTAAAAAGTGATTGTATAATGTAACATTTAACTTCTAGAAAATTCAAAATATAGCATCCTTTTCCATCCCCTCTGGCCTATAAAAACCAGCCAACCATGTTCACATTGGTTGTTACACCAGCCTTTATTGCTGCACCCAGAGTACTGGTGGCAATGTGACGAGATGGGGCTGTCATTTGCTGAGTTGAGGGTGTGAAGATGATTAGAATCATTAACATGGAGGAACTATGTGAATGACAGAATTTGAAACATTCTGCCACTGGTTTCAGCAGATGTCATCTTGTCTTGCCAGTGACTGGGGTTACAATCATTCACCCAGAAAAGAGGACGATCTGTGATGATTAGGGTAGACAGAAGCAAATGACATTTATTCAACAGCAGGCCTCTTGACTCTGTAGGTATCACCAGAGCATTCTGATGAGGCTGGCATATTTTCTTCTGGGGTATGAATTCAGGTGGTTACTATAAGGCCTTTTAGAACTCCTGGCCATCTTTCTTTTGGAGAATGCTTAGTGGATTCTTCCTCACCAGGGTGACAAATGCTTTGGGGTTTTTCCTCAAGATATTCCAGAAGAGCATCTGTTGATCTCTTGGTGCATGTTTTAGAGCAATTATGTAAGCTATTTATAAGAGAACCTAGATTCAATGGCTGTCTGTTTATTTTAGGCCTTGACAGTAAAATTGAATACCAGAACAGAAAGATTAAATACTCTGAGAGCTTTAATGAAGCAATATGTGTGCTGTATCATTGTTACAGAAGGCTAACTCGGAACTTAGACTCTCAAAAACTGCAGAAACAGCTGCTCATTGTCATTAACAAAAGAACAAAATTAGAATAGGTATTTTG